AGGGAAGAGTCCAAAGACTCCGGACTCAACTCGAGGGTGTAGTAAACAAGAACGCACTCGGGAAGCTCCGGCATCAAAGTACGGATGTCCTCCACATGCTGGATGAGAAGGTCAGCCGTAGGGAAGTCGCCGGGCTTTGTACTCCGGATTTTCTGTAGGCCAATCAACAACGGCAGCGTAGGATTTTCGCCGCAGTTCTTAAGAAACCAGTCCTCCAACCACTCCAGACTTGGAATGAAGCCACCCTGCATTGCAACAGCCGAATGCAAGGCCAAACGAAGACGAAAAGGTTCCAGCGCCGCGATGAAGGCGACCGCGACATCCTTCGATTGAATTGGTAGACCGCAGCGTTGCAGTTCGTTCTGAATAGCGATTTTCTGCAACGTCCAACCCTGCGCCAGGGTCAGTTGCTGCTTTTCAAGGGAATCTGGAGACATCTCCAGCAACTTGTCGAAGCGTGGGTACGTGGGCGCCTTCTCCATAATCGACAAAGAAGAAGCGCGATTAGTGACTTCTATGACAGTATTGTCGCGGTCGGCAACGACCACGATAGGAGGATCAGGATCAGCAGCAGACATGGGATACGACGGCGGAAGCGAAGTAGGCTAGGATCGAGAAGTCTCGATACCAATGTCACAATCGAGCCTATTTAAGAAACATTCCACTTGTGTGGTGGGACCGAAAGACCCCGAGTGATGGGTGGTGAGCCGTCTTATCGACCGGCCACCGGCGGAAGTACGGCAAAGCGAACCAGATTAGATGAAGGCCCTATGGCGAAGGCCAAATTACACCGACGAACGATAACGAATAGGCGAATGAGAGTAATGTAACAGCTCATGCTCGTTACAGTCCTTGGACCAAAAGCTGAGCTGACCAACCGCAACGTGGAACCCTTACACACTTGTTGATGTCCGATCCTGAACCCGAAAAACGTTTAACCTTGATCCCCGCGAATACTTACTACAGCTCGAAACAGGCGTCAAGAAACCTGGACCTGATCCTTAACTCAGCTCTGATCATGTAACCCTGAAAATCCTACCCATTAGTTCCCGAAAACGTTTTCATAGGCCACAAAAAGTCGACTTAACCCTAAGAATAATAAAAACAAATAACAAATAAAGATGGCGCGTGCTGTGCGAACAGTACGTAGGTCAGCAAGGTCAACACCAGCACTCAAGGCTGCTAAGGCCGCGCGTAAGCTCCCTCCTAATTCGGCGAACAGCTCCCACAGAGCAGCCCAGAAGGGCCTAGTGGCCGGGGTCAGAGCCAAGCCGAAGGCCGTGCCTCGCCGTACTGTCGCTCGCCGCACTGCGTCGCGAACTGCACGACTTCGCCGCAGTCCGGTCTCCAGCAGCATCCAAGCGGGGCTGACATTCCCTGTCGCTCGTGTCGCGCGTTACCTGAAGAAAGGCAGGTACGCTGACCGGCTCAGCGCCCTAGCGGCCGTGTATCTAGCCGCCGTGCTCGAGTACCTCGCGGCGGAGGTTCTGGAGCTGGCGGGCGACGCAGCGCGCGACTGCAAGCGGGTCCGCATCATCCCGCGCCACATCCTGCTGGCCGTGAAAAACGACGAGGACCTGGACCTCGTCTTCCAGCAAGTTATCCTGCCGGAGGCCGGCGTGCTGCCTTGGATTGCAAACGAGTTGCTTCAGACCCGGAAGGGCAAGGGGAAGGGCAAGGGCAAAGGGGGGCCGGAGGCGGCCGCGTCGACAAAGGCGGTCGGGCACGGCGGCGCTGCTGCTGCCGCTGGCGCCAACGGTGCGCAGCCGGACAGCTCAACTGTAAAGAAGGGCGAGGAAGAGAGTGCCCAGTCGATGGAGGAGGCGGAGCTGCAGTGAGACGGGGGACGGGCGCTATGGCAATATCGGGAGCGCTGTTGGCTTTTTGTAAAGTGGTTGGTTAGTTGGTTGGTTGGTGGTTTGGTTGGTTGGCTGGCAGGCTGGCTGGGCCGCCGGTGGTTAACGTTTGCAGGGTTGTGCATGCAAGTGGTGGCCCCACACGCCCAGCGTGCGGGCTAGAGGCGTTGGGTTGCGTTGGTTGTATGCTTGTCCCGTTGGTGAGGAAGGGGGGTTTGAACTCAGCTGCCGGGGTCAGGGGTCAGGTGGGTAGTTCGGAGACCCATATGAGGTATTCGGTCGCCGACGACGGACCCGTGGGTCGCGAGGTGCACTCCGCAGCAGCTGAGGAAGGTGCGGTCGCTAGGAGGACCCCTCTAGAGACGTGTACCTGTGACGTGGCTTACATCTCTCTCCTATACGTTTTTGCTTCTTTCTTTCGCACGGTTTACCACCTAGTAACTCCCTCGCAGTGCGCTTTACACGTGCTTTACACGCGCTTTACACGCGCTTTACACGTGCTTTACATGTGCACTCAGACGCTGCATAGACAGCGTGGATGTCGTAGTCTTTGGGATTTGTATACTACCACCACACTGCTCTCTGTACCTGTTAATGGCTAACAAACTACTACTACTGCTGCTTCACCGTATCCAACTACGCCCTTCCAACGCGCTCTTGCCCCCCCCCAAACTTTAGAAGTAAACTCTGTGTGGGCGCATAGGCCTTTGGTGCGGGAGGCTCCGGTCACAGGCTTAGTCGTACAACATACAAACAGGTACAGATAGCGTTCCTGGTTTTCCGTACTTCTCGCCTAGTTTGTAGACTCTATAATAACTAAGCATACACGCTCCGAACGCAGTAATCCAACGTGCCTCGCATGCGGTGTCACGAAATAGCTCGCAAGGACCCTGCTAAGGTTAAAGGCGCCTACCGACCTCGACGTCAACGGCAGCCCCTGTTGCGATAACAGTGGCGCTCGTAGGCGTGCCCAAGAACAGCGTGCTAATAATACCGAAATGGCAATAGCAGTACGGCCGATCAGTACGATGTGTTACGTGTAGGCTCCTTCCCCGTGTTTGCGGTAGTGTGTTTCGGAGCCACCCCGCCCACACACTCACGGAAGACAGGTGCGGGTGTACACGTCGCGTTTGATGAAATCCAACACATGATCTTCCAACCATGGCAGCTGATGAAATTCAACTTAACAACATTTGTCCGCCCGTTTCCTTTCCAAAGATTCCCCAAATCCCCCGGTTACGTACAAAGGCACAACTGCTACTGTGGTGCATTCTTCTGCGTTTAATTAATATTATCTTCGCTCGGACTGCACCTCTATTCAGACCGCTTTACACCCGCACTTCATCACGACGACAGCAAAAGTGATCATGGTGATAAGGAAAAGTCGGACACGCTCGGCCAGGCAAAACTCTTATGATAGAAAAACAGGGGCTCATAGGGGCCTTACAACGCACGGGACGGTAAGGCGCCATACGGCACGATACGATACTCCTTCGTTCGAGTGCGCTCCGAAAAATCCTTGCGCTCGGGTACAGAACAGTATCGGACACAATCTCAAAGCTTCGGGGAACTCTTCGCCGCTCTTCTTTCTGCAAGTGAAATCATGCCTCTAAAACCGTACTCCAACACTTTCCTGCGTGACCCAGATCAGACGCTCCCCGGATGCTGCCGTACACTGTCGTACTGCAGCTCCGGAGGCCTGCCCTACCAACACCTTATCCCTCGCGGCGCTCTGATGCTCGCTGAAAGCATACTTTGAAACCTTACAGAAACACACAGATATAAAGACTGACAAACGGGACCACCAATGAAATCATCAACCACCATCCAACAGCCCTGCTGCCAAGGATACATCACAATACAAACACCACACACTCCGCGGGTACCCCTTTTCCCCTCCTGTCTACTTATTCTTCATCCACCGCGCTGTCCCTCTCCCCACTCAATTCCCTTCACCCTCCTCCCTCTTTTCTCTACACATGCAGCCGCAGGCTACAGCCCCGCCCAACAGTAACGCAACAGCTGAGCTCCACCCCTTTTCCCTTTCCTCCTGTTCCCTTTCCACCCGTCCTCTCTCCTAACACACAGCCAGCCAGGCCAGGCACGCAGCAGTATACATCCGCACTTAGCCCCAGTTAGCACTACTCGTAGTCGAAGTCTCGGTACCTCCAGTCCCCCGGGTGGGTGGACGCCGCCGCCACCCCCTCCAACTCCCGCAGCACACCGCCCAGGCCGGGGGGGGCGGGCAGGGCGCGACCCAGCAGCTTCCGCTGCAGCGGACTCCAGGGGAGCTGCAGAGCAGTCGCCAGACACTGAGGGGTGTAGGGGTAGCGATAGGGGTAAGGGGTGATAGGAGTGAGAGAGAGTGATAGGAGTGAGGAGTGAGTACGGGTGAAAGGAAATGCGTGATGTGCTGAGAGGCGGGTGGGCATTGACACCTCCTTCCTCCCCCCTGTCTCACCTTCTTGGACACGCCCACGAGCTCGCGCTTCACGGCTGTCAGCACCTCGTCCGCGGGGAGCTCCTGCGGGGCCGGAAAGGGAAACGGGGCCACAGAAGGTTAGAGGGGGATGAGAGAGGAATGGATGGGTAAGTATGGTTAGGACGAGGGACGGGGCAAGGGAGAGGGAGAGGGATTTTCCCCCCTAACAGTGTGGTTTAGGTGTGAAGGAGAAGGGGGGATGCTGGAAAAGAGGGCAACCACAGGACACTTGGCAATCACTCCGTGGCTCCTCTCCGGCGGGGAAAAAAGCAACATCGCAATACTGGTGAAAAAAGGGGAGGGGGAAATCGTACGCGAGGAAACAGGAGTGAGCTCTGCCGGTAAAGGGGGGGGGGGAGAGGGGGATCTCGGTAGGGTTTGCATCGCGGGCTTTGGTCGCGCGGGTCCGAGGCCCCGTGTTACTCCCGGCCCCACCTCCCCGACACCCACCTCGAACATCCGGGGGAATGTGTGTTCCAGGAACACCAGCGCCTCAGCATCCCGAAGCGTCTGAACCATCAACAACAACTCCAACAACCTGAAGGAATGGGCCATTGGGGGGCGACACGGCGGCGGCGAGCCGGCGGGAGGGCTGGGTGGGTTAGAGAGGGCTAGCGGCGGGTTCAAAACGAAAGCAGGACGGCCTGGGAAGTTGCGGTCCAAGGAAGGGACCCAACTGGCAGCCGTCCCTGCCGTCGTAATGACTCCTAGATAGGCAATTGTGACAAGATGAAGCGGGAGAAAAGGAAATCTAAATTGAGTTCCCGCATGTCCTAATTAGGAAACACACAGTTAACAGCTCCGCGGGGCGCCGAAGGGGACTCAACCTCGCTGCCGCCCGCGGAGTCATTTAGAAAGGGCGGGTGGGCGGGGGGAGCGAGAGAGGGTAAGGATTTCAAATCCTGGCAAACGAACTCTGCAAGGCAGCCGCTAGAGCTCAAACAAATACCAAACGGATAAAAGGCATCAACCCACATCTTTTCCCATCATCATCGCCATCATTACGGCACTCGCACAGCTGGCTATGCAGTGAGTGTCGTACGTGTGTGGGGCATCGCGTGTGGGCACGTGCTTCACCTGAAGTTTATAATGCCCATGGGACCAGTCACGTCGTACAGTCGTACATCCCGTGGGTCGGGCAGGTCCCTGTTGAGCATGAAGTCTTCCACCAGCTTCTGGGAGGCCTCAATGTATCCTAATCAGGAGACACACATACATACATACAGGGAAAGGGGGCCGCTGGCGAAGTTAACCACCCTGTAACAACAAACATACATACAGGCGCACGCACGCAGAGCAGTCCGTTCCGTTCGGGCAGTTAAACAATACACCAATCGGCCCGCTGGGAGCCGCCCGCCTCCGGCTCCCTCCCTGTCCGCGGAAAACACGGGTGTTGCCCCTCGTACCCCACCACCACCACCACCACCACTACCACCAGCCCCAACCCCAACCCCGTCTATGCTCCAAGGTTGTGTGGGCCTGGAGGCATCATTCCCTGCCACCCACCTAACTCGCACCTTCATATAGTCCGCCCTCCAAACTCACGAACATACATACACGTACGTCGCATCAGCTTGCGTCCATTCCACAATCCCCACCGCCACCACCACTACTCCCCACCTACCCTTTCCCAGGAGGTATACCCCCCCACCCACCCGCCTCCTTCATGACCCCCTTGAGTCGGTTCGCCAGCCAGGCCTTCCGGTCCGCCTCCCACTGCTTCTGGCCCGCCGTGTTGGGCGAGTAGTCGTCACGCTTGATCTCCACCAGCCGCCAGCTCTCCAAGTTCTTACCTGCGGAAGGCGTGCGTACGCGCGCGTGTGTGAACGTGTGTGTATACGAATGTGTATGAGTGAACGTGTGTGTGTAGGCCCGCATGTACGTGTGGTGAATGGAAAGGAATGCGGACGAAAGCCCGGATGAACGGAGCCTCATAGAAGACAGGCAGCTCGGAGTGGGCCGCAGGATTACCCCTTACGTACCTCCTTACCTACCTACCTGCCTAACTACCTACAATGTAACTGACAGACACTATGTATAACGATATGTGGTAGAGGGAAGGAAAAAGTAGCGGGAACCGTGGGTCGGTTACGCCGGTCGGTGTCGGTTAACGGGGTCAGTTGCAACTTCCAAGACCCTCCCTCTACTACTACTTCCATGCACTCCCGACAGAACCCCCCTAAACCCCTAGGGCTATATCCCCCCTCCCCCGCACAGCACCCACCCCTGGCCAGGATGAACAGCTCGTCGGGCGCCCCCGGGTCCAACTTCTCAACCCAGCCCGCCAGCCAGGTGCCAAACAGGACACGGTACGGATACCGTTGGCCGCCGTACTCCACCTGTAGTTCGCAGGCGGAGGTTGTGAGATATACAGTACGGTACAGCTCGCCGTGAGAGACACGCCTCTCGAAATCCGAGCTGCATCGCCCCCCCATGCTCATCCCATCCACAGACCCCAACCCCCAACCACAAAATAACCAAGTGGTGCCATCCAAACCCCACCTCCCCTTGCCCCTCCCAACCCCCTAGCAGGAAAGCGAACACTCCTGCGAACACCCCAATACGTGAACCTCCGTGTCCTCATCAGACGGGCCGCTGGAGAAGAGAAAACACGTCCCGCGCATTACCGGGGGATTGGTTGCTAGTTAGGTTGGCATTTCAGTTGGTTAACGGTCGGTGCTGATGACGCCGAACGAGCAACCCTCCTCCTTCCGAAAGCTTGTACGGCCAAGTTGTGTACCCCAAAGCGCATTTGGCGCATTTGGTGCTCACCCCACAACGCACAGGTTCGCGAAACGTGCGGAAACGTACCCCGGAATTCCCCCACAGCGCTATGTATCACCCGCCCCTTCCCCAAGTGAAAGCCCTGCAGGCCCTCGAGCCCACCTTTGAAGGGTCCTTGGCGTTGATTTCCTCGATCAAGCTCAGGCACTTGGACAAGTTCTCCCGGTCAGTTGGGGGAGGGCGCTGACGTGGCGGGGCCGGGGGGATGTGCGGAGGAGGGGGGGTGGGGGTGAGATAGAGATGCACAGTGGAGCAGGTCGGGCAGGTGGGTGGGATGTGACTGGTTTCGGGGGTTTCGTGTCCCGGGGCGGTGGAAGGGCGCCCATTTGGAAGACATGTAGGGACCGGAGACACACACACCTCCGTTGCAAGACATAAAACACTGCAGCCATAAGTGACAGAGCAAGACCGCAGGTAAGACGTCGGAATATGCGGTCGGAGACATCGGTGTCGGGGGAGTTCCGGGGCGGGCCCCCTCCCTCCCCTCCCGGCCATCGGCTTACCGCGGCCAACATCTTTTGCACCAGCTCCGAAATCTCCGGCGTGTCCAGCGTCGCACGGCAAGGACTGAGACGCTGAGTATGGCGGTGTCGTACGGCCGTACGGGCGGCATGGGACCAGACGGCCGCTCCCACAGCTGATGAATGTACCGTGTCAGCGGCGGGGCCATAGGGCATCCCCACCGCCGCCGCAGGGATACGTGCTATAGCCTGATGACGACGTTAATGGGAGTTGGTGTCACACGCACACACACGTGTAAATAAATGTATGTATGTATGTACATATGTATGTACGTATGTATGTACGTATGATGTATAGTTTCAGGGTGGTATAGCTTCACCAGCGGCCCCCTTTCCCTTGGAGGCAGTTCCCTGCTCTCCCCTGCTAGAGGGGCACCCTAATCCGTCACCCCATCCGACTTCAGAATGTATTCGTTGAGTTCGGCAACTCACCACCAGCATCCAACCAAATCTAGCGGATCAACGGCGCATCAACTTAGTTCCTGGTCAGCTCGCAAGTTGATATTATCACGTCCTACACCGTCCATAAGATGGGGGGCCACCTCCCATTTCATCACTCCTCAAACACCCGAGGAGCCGGCAGGCGGATTTGAACCCGGGTCGACTGGGTCAACTGGGAGCAGAAGTCAGGCCTTAACCTCTGCCAGCCGCCTGCCTGTATGTATGTATGACTTAGATTACACTGTGGGCCGCGAGAGCCGGGGGCCGAAGCCGAAACACAGCGCAAGGGTCGGGAGCACACAGCACAAGTCGGTTAGTCTTGTGTGCTCCCGACCCCGACTCAGACTGCCAACACTCTACGCAGCCACTCCGCAGCCCCTCCATCCGGGGATGGCGCTGCAGCGAATACACCACGACGTGCTCTCAGGTCCCGCTAGAGCCAGTCCACGAGTCTCAGCTAGGGCAAAGGCACATGCTCTCTGGACATCCCCCCAAAACACAACCAACGACACAGGGAAGAAAAACCCGAACAACGAAATAAGACGGCTAGGGTAGCCCAGGCAGGGGAGGGCTCCTGATACACCTAACAAGCCAAAAAAGAAAAACCTCCAAGAAATGTATGTATGTATATATGTATGTATGTGCTTATATGTGTTGAGGAGAGAGTAAGATGCAGACCCGATACGGCTTTACGTTTCGTCAGCCGAGCTATGGGAGATATGGTGCAGTGGTGCATAGCGTCAGGGCCGAATCGCTTCGGAGGCTGAGGGCTCTTGGTTGAGGGCCTTTGGATATCGCGCCTTGACGAGGGAGTGGTCATGGCGGGATCTAAAAGGGGCCCTGTAAGAGCTGCCTGGCGGTGAAACATCCGCGTGGAGTGACGTACAATAGCTTTCGGGCGCAGCAGGAAAGCATTATCCCGGGGAAGGAGGGCAAGCAGGGCCTTGTACAAAACGGGGTTGCGATTCAGCTGTTTTCCATGAACCTGGCAGCGATGTCACGATTCCTGGATTGCCGGAATGGGCGGATGCGCACTTACGCAGTGTGAGGTGCGCCGCTGTCGCTGGTGTGATGATGCAGGACCTGTAGATGCCCTGCGCCAGTACAGAAGAAATGAAATAAACGGTGTCGCACTGATACTACGGCATTCCCTCCCAAACTGAAGTGCAAGCTCAACGTGAGTAGCAGCGTGATCCAAACATTTGAAAAATCATCGGGCTTTGTTCTGTGTAAAAGCATCTGTTTGGGGACGATGAGGCAGGACCGCGAGACGGACGCGTCATTACCGATGCTCACCGTGCGACATGACCAGGTAGCGCTGCTGGTTGCATGCTGTATCGTACTTGAAAGAAATGTAATACGCGTTCAAAAGAGTTATCTTGGATAACCTCTCCGCGATAAGGGTTTGCTTGATGCTAAACTGTTGAAAAGATTAAATTGTTGACGACCCTGTGAGGCGTTCTCTTGAAATTAAATGGATAACAATGACCATGTAAACAAGGCAAGTCCTGCGCACTCGGCCTCTGAGCCATTGTACGGCAACACCTCCTTCCCCTTCCTGGGGAGGGACGTGAACTTGGATCGACCAGGCGTCACCGCCTGTCGCCATAAGATCTGGATGAGAATAAAATACTCGGCAGAGGATCGCAAGTCGAAATTAGGGCACCTAAAGGTGAGTATGCCGAGAGCGATCCACACCAACCTGATGCGTTTTCGCCTTGGCAAGCGGATCTGGATGTGTCACGGTTTGCACGTCCACCAGGCCGAAAACCACGGGAGGAACGAACGTGCGGGATTTGTGGCGGGGGCCAGGTAGAAGGCGAGCTACATACGCGTGCTGATGGAATGCCCTGCTTTCAAGCCGCTAAGGCAACCAGTTGGGTTCCCTACGGATGTAGATATGATTTCCGTTCCTTTCCGTCTCCCCATCCAAAGGCCTGACTCCCTTTACGCTCCTCGTGCAGGTTTGAGAATTAGAGGGATACTCGGTATGTGTGGGATGTTAGACACTCCTCCACTTTGGACTCAAATTATTCTTGCTATCATGCTTGTGTGTCATGTTCAGCCACCAGCCCACCCGCTTTGCTTGCTTACTGTGAGGGGAGACATGCGCCAGGGCACTTGTATCACAATCCTTGGAAGGCCAGTATCGAGAGATTATCCGGCGTTGATGACACATCTAGGAACAGCATTGACATGCCAAACTCAACCTGTCTTAGTCCATCACAACTTTTAGCCTCAGGAGCATAGTGTTATCACATCCCGCTTTGGGGAAATATCCCTTGTTGCTGGATGGGCGAGGCGATCCGTTAGATGTTTCCAATTTCAGGACCTCCGCAGCTGCGACAATTGGGACTGCACACACGGCGAGCTTCACCAGAGACTGCGAGAACGAACCTACGGGTTTAGCATTGTTCTTGGGCCGGTCCTAATCTGCAGGTGGGTCAGAACCCTGCCAGCAAGCTTATCATGTTATGCGCCGCAGTTTACGGCCGCAGTTATGCCTTTGGGGTCGACGGTAAACGCTCCGTTGTGATTTTCAACATTGTTTATTCCTTGGATTGCAGAAGAAATCCTTGGTTGTGATGGTATATAGGTGCTTCGTTGAGATGGCCTTTGATGCAAACGACAGAAGTTCAATCGCGGCCACCAACGGGTTCCAAGATAAATGCACGGATGGATCCTGACAAATATGATGGAACGGCCGTTTAGCGTTGTACCGCGTCGATCCGGTCTGACCCGTGTCGTGCCGCAACGCAACATTTCGTGCCCGTTGTGTTCACACATGTCTTTGCGCTACGGGGCGATGAAATACTATACGGTCATGCTTGGCTGGCGGCTGGTAGCAATAACAGCAGCAGCAGCAGCAGCAGCAAAAAGATGTGTCAGCGCCGTGCAGCAACGACGTTGGGAAAGATGCAGCAAAACAAAATCAGTGCTGCCAGCCGTCAGCCAAGCGTGACTGTATTGTTGCATGTGGTGCTTTGTGTGATGGGACTGTTGCAAATTGTGTAGCGTGGGGGCTGGTGCTTCCGTGTTGTCATGCGTTCGTGCTTCGACGTATGCATTCACATGCGCGTAGCTCAACCGAACTGTCTTCTGACGCACTGCCTTCTCTCATACCGTGCCTTAACGACCTGTACTGTCCCCCGCCGGCGATTGTTCCGAGGCTCCCATCATCGCCAGTGTTTTTTTTCCATTTTTGCCCGTCAATTTTCCAGTCCGAACGGAGGAATAGGTTTTTAGTCGCGGGAATAAAACTATTCCGAATCTGTAAGGCGCTGGGGGGTGTGCTACGCCCCCCTTAACTTTCAGGACCACGAACATTTTTTAATTCAGAATTCGGAATATATTCCGCAAAAAAAACGCTGGATGATTCAACGCCCTCGTCGCTGCCGTGGCTTTCATCCCGCTCGTCATCGTCACCGTCGCCTGCCAGGCAGTGCCTTTCGCATCCATGTGCGGCAGAAGTCATGTACGACCGCTGCCATGTCATCAGAGGAGATCATTTGAAGTATTCGTGTACACGTATTGGGTAATATTCCTCGGCTAGCGAGGTTGGGAATTAGGAAGGCGGGGTTGGGGAGCTGGTGCATATGGGCATACATGCATCCGCATGTAGGCATCCGCATGTAGGCATGGAAGGCCTCAGGCGCGCACGGGGCCTGATTCGACGGCTACCTGGCGGGCAAGGTGCCTACTTCGACGTCTACCGTTAGATCTCTTAACTAATTCCCCCTTCATCCGCACTGGAAATACCGCCTAATTGTTTACCTAGCGATAATGGAAACTATAGAATATGTTCCTAGGTTTTCGGGCGAGGCCCCGGGCGCGAAGCGCCATTCGGGGGGCCGAGCCCCCCGGGTTCACTGCTGTCAGTCAGTCAGTCAGTCAGTCAGTCAGTCAGTGGCTTACATATCTCGCCCCGCAAAAAATAGCGTTTGAATGCTATATCCATTATGTATCGAAATGCCAAAGGAGGCATTCCAGATAAATCGGAGCGCGAAGATAGCTTTCCATGGCTCCGAGTTTGACATAAAGGGTGCATTTCCAGTGCGGATTAAGGCCAGGGATTAGGGCACGGAAGTCCTTGGTACGAGCTTACCACATAGTTTCGTTCCATAAGGGAACCAAAGGTTGAAAAGGCGAGGTAAGTTTGCCAACAACTTAGCCGTTTGAGCAAGTATCGATGGAGGACAGAGGGTTAATCCCTGGCCTTAATCCGCACTGGAAATACACCCTTAGTTACATATCTCGCTCCGCAAAAGATTGAATGTAGAAGCTATATCTATTCTACATCCACCTGCCAAAGGAGACATGCCAGATAAATCGGAACGCGACAAAGATAGCTTTCCATGGCTCCGAGTTTGGCGGAGGAGAGCGGGGCCGCCCAGGTCGGGCCGTTGCGCAGGCGGAGGTGCCAGCCCCCACAGCGGGCCATGTCGGCAGCCCCCCTCCGGGGCCGAGCCCGTTTTCGGCTTTGGAAAGCCGGCCCCCTAGTCTTATTTTTTGTCTTTTATACTCTGTTCTTCCTGCTTTTCTGTTTTGGTGGGTCTTGTGGTCCATGAGCCAGCAGCAGCAGCAGGCTGTCTCGTCTGCTGGGCCATCCGTGCTCAAGAAGCTTCTTGAGCTCGTTACAAGCTTCTAAATAAGCTTGTAACAACCATTAAACCAGGGGCAAATCGAACATGGATTGGGAGCAAGAAATATACTTATGTGCATATGGTATCCTTCTTACCCATAAATTCGGCACTAACAGCTCCTTAAAGATGAATAAATGATCTTGGCCAGATAAGTAATAGCTATATTTTCTGAAAACATCATATTTTCAGATTCCTTATATATTTCCCGCATAGAAAATTATATACAGTTTTTCTTTTTCTCTTCGGCAAAATCTGGTGACTCACATTGGCCGCATATCTCAGAATGGACGAGCACAGGACCCAAACCGTATCCATACGGTATCCATACCGTGTTCAGCGAACGTGCGCAACCCTAAAACCCTAAGAGCACGTACGCTTCTGCCGTAACCCATGCGCAAGGATGACACACCCATGCGGGCCTTAAAAGCTAGTCTGTAGCTCATGCAGTCTTTTATAGCAAGCCAAATGCACATTTTGCATAAGAAGTCAATGAAAGGTGGCTGCGGCTGCTGCGGCTGTGTAAAGGTATACTGAACGGACTCCATGTGAGTAAAAAAGAATCGTACA